ACATCTACAGATTGTTCTATGGATAGTGGGTCCAGAACATTTATTTTCTGGGCAAACAGATGGCTGAGTAATTAACTTAGGAACTTTGGTTTGTTACAGATTGCATCTTTTGTCCCAAAGCAAGCACACTTTAACCATTAATTTGAGAGGCTAGGGGAATGGTGGATTTTAGCAAAATGGAGTCGCTTTGGTCTCACATTCCCCCCTTCTCATGATGCTATAGAGGACCAATCATAGGCCTCTGGGGGTTAATTTTATTAGGTCTGTAGAGACTGGTTGGTATTGGGACCTGAGTACCATTAGCTGTACAGTGTTAACGAGTTCTCAGATGAACAAGACTCTGGCAACACTATAGCTAGATGACTCAAACAGCAACAGGTCTTGGTTAAATTTGTTGGAATATAATTAAAGGGTTTTTTTACAGGTATAAAAACCATCTTGTGGGCAGGGAGATATGGCAATTGTTATACACAATATTTTGTTTTGTTTTGTTTTATATGGTGGGACATCTTTTTTGACCATTTTATCTTTAGACATTTGGTTGTACAATTTTTATACACAGCACATTTAGTTTTGTTTGACATAATTATCTTGGGTGTATATAATTTGACAGCATCTTTAGGTTTATGGCAGGTGTTATGCCCCCAATTATAACTATCTAGGTAAGAAAGATTTTTTTGGGGGGGGATGTCTTTAAATAGGGTATAGGGTCATATTAATTTTAAAGAGGTGCATATCAGAATGAGACAGCTTCTTAGCACATAATGGAAATCTACATCAACATTTAAGCAAAATTCAGACAAGTTAAGCGAGTTTGCCAATTGAATCTATACATTTTTTGTGTGATCTAGTCCTTTGGGGGGCAATAGTGTCAGTGTCCCAGAGAATATTATCGTTAAGGTGAAACATCTCTAACCCATTCTAGTCTTAGCTTTTGGTCACCTAGTTGGCTGATAACCTTTTATTTGTCCTTTTTGATGTCTCCGGGGTGTCCTGTTTTTAGATGGTTGTGATGTATCTAGGCAGAATGTCCAGCCACCTTTATCGCCAAGGGAGTTGACAGGACAGCAGGAACCGGTCCCTTTTAACAAGGTTCCAGGGTCTTGGGATCAAATCTGC